GTATGTACACACACATATATACATATGTGATTATATTTACATGTAACACATTTTTCTGTCTGTGCATGCAGGTATAGTGTCACCTCCACCCCGAAAAACAAAAGTACCGACCGGTCTACCGGGGAGAGGGAGGCTGTTTTGGGCCAGCGGGCGCGCCGAGGGTCCAGAGGGGGGGAGGGGGGGGGGGGGGGNNGGGGGGGGGGGGAGGGCAACAAGACAGCAAGTTTCTGTTTTTTGTTCCCCCCGAAGAGGAGCCGTAGGGTCCGGGCTTTAAGCTTGGATGGAAGCATCCATAAACAAAACAGCAGCTTCAATTCCACTTCACCACACGCATCTATCATTTGTTTTACTGTCAGTGCTTGGTGGAAAGCCGTATTTGATCATACCTTGGCATCCCCAGACATCAGAAACGAACACCGGTTTACAGGTATTGACATTGAACGGTATACCTACAGTTCAATAATATTCTAAATGGTTTTCGGTATAAATCAATCGTTGTGAAAATGGGCCTGCGATGGGTCCGGTTCTGTGTGTATATATAATAGATGTATATGCAGTGAGACAAAGATCTGCATGTGTATCTACACTCAGACCGATGTCTATGGAAAGGAAAACACAGTTTGCACCTGTTTGCATGCATGTATTGTATACATGTTCATGTGCATACATATATATATATACACATGCAAGCAGATACACCTACTACTGCAGATATACATACATGTATACTGAGATATGCTGACACATGCCTATACATACATATGCACACATGCATACCTGTTTGCGCACCTACATGTATGCGTACATGCAATTGCACATGTATAGATAGTACGTAAGCTTATGCGCACATAAAGGGACCGCACGTGTTGCCAGAAGTGCTGGTCTTAAGAGGATCTGTATGCCGCGACCATGTGACGCCGTTCGATCAGCAAACTTGCGGATGCCTCTGCAGCATGCAGGCTGCAAGACTCGTTGTTGGGTCGTCCCCGAACTTCGCCACGAACTCGAAGTTGTAAAATCCCATGAACTCCCGAACCAGAGTACCCGAATTGCAGAAAAGTGCCGCGGAGCTCAGTTTTGCACAGACCTGGCCTCATGGCGCTTCGTGGTTGCCGCGTGCCATCGACAACACCTGGCCGGCTGTGGCTTGGAGAAACTCTGAAAAGATATCTCGTCTCGGGCTCTTGATTGACATTTTCGTTCTGGAAGATCTTTGGGGAGTTTTTTTGGCTTTGTGCCTCAGACATGGGTTTCAGGACTCATGGAGCCTCCTGATGCTCAGAATAGATCGCTAAATTCCGTGATGCAACATGTCGAGTTATGGTTAAGCGTCGATTGAAACAAAAGTCGAACGAATTTCACCTCAAGCCATATACCCTCAGCACGACTTCCGAAGCCCAGCCTTCTGAGACGAGCAGAAATCCTTGATATACAAGCCGTAAGAAGAAAACGCAACTGCGAATGCAGGTGGCTGAGCGCCATGCCTGGCCGCTTTGAGCCCATAGAGTCTTTTTATTCAGCCTGCAAAGAGGCGAACATCTACGCGATTCGGACGCACTTGAGCAAACCTATTTCAGTATGACCCATAAAGGGCTTGGGCATCGTGAACCAGAGATTTTCTGGGCAGTAACTCATGTCTCTGTTTGTGGTGATGGCGGCCATAGTTGATGCTTAGTCGTCCTTTTTGTTTTGGCCTTTGACCTGGGCGTTGTGGAAGCCCGGGCCTGGGTTCGATCATTCGCCGGCTGAAGCTTTCAGCTTGCAAGAGTATCCAGGATGTGGTACACTGCATTATGCTTCCAATTCCTGTATGTGGAATATCCTCACTTCTGCGGAGAGCCCTATTTCTCATCAGCGTGCCAGTGTCGCATACCTTGTCTCCGCTTTTCCGTTTGCTGTCTGTAACTGTCCTTTGGCTTGCGACATTCCCCGAAAGAGGCGGGACCTGGCCAGTCCGAAGTTTCCGAAATTGCGACGGGCATTGGATTGCTAGTCTTACCGCAAGCTGGTTGTTAGACGTAAAACCACAAGTGTCAGCCGAGAGTGCCAAGCCAAGGCCGTTGGCTGCTTCACTGCCAGGGCAGAGATTGCAAAGCGGTCGCCTTCCTACATGGAGGCATTGGAGGAAGGAAGGCTGCCATGTCGGGTCCTGGAATTTGGCGTTTCGGACTTTGGCGTGCCTGCTGATGCACCGGCTTACAAAGAGGTGATTGGCGAGTTGGCAGCCATGCTTACTGAAGGCCGCAATATCGTCCTTCATTGCCATGCTGGAGTTGGACGTACTGGGACCGCGGCAGTGGCCGTGCTGTGTAGCTTGGGCATCGAACTTGAAGAAGCCTCGAGCCTTGGGTCCGGTGGAAGCTTTTTCTGGCTGTTCGCCCGTGTATTTTAAGCCAACAGTTTAGAATTTCCTTGTTGACCCCAGGAAATGGGTGGCAGAGGCTGGCAGTGGGCCAGAGACTTCTGTGCAAACGGCGTTCTTGCAAGAGCATTTCGCCAACACGAAGGTTTGCAAGGCTACACCAAGGCGGTCCGAGACTGACAAAGACAATGACAAGCGCAGTTTCGAAACCTGACACATCGACTTCCAAAGAAGGGCAGCACATGACTCATTGAACATGTCGCTGTGGCAGTCTGCACAGCGGCCACCAACCAACTGGGTGATATCAGCACCCTGCAGAAAAGCACTTCCGAGATTTCTTGCATCAGCTCGAGAAGGAGTATTGGGAGCTGCAGAGTGGCTTCAAGAGGGGTGAGATCGTGTGGTCACAATGCAGAGACGTTCGGCGGCGCACTGGTGCTGCCACTTCTACTATGTCCTCGGCAGTACATAACCTCGAGCAGACACTGCCATTGCCGACCACTACGGCATCCTCACGAGTGGGAGTGCGCCGATTGTCACGAAAGTCTCTGTCACCAGCTTTTTAGTTTAAAGCCTTTTCCAGATTCGCTATTGAGTTTAGTGGTCGAGTCCCTGCGGAACCTGTTTCGTTGGAGAGCTGGCAACTTTGCGACAACTGCTGGCGTGCGCTGACATCGGTTCACCGCAAAGGCTTCCGAGGCACACCTAGAGGCGCGTGGTCTTCGCGACGACACATTGGAGCCATATTCGTCTTACTCGTGATAAGGGCAGCCAACTTGGAACAGCTTCCTTGATGAGCCGAGATGCAGCAATGAGGTTGCACGCAGACGGTCTTGCGAAGATGAAGCCAAGCGATAACCGTGGCCTGGCGTTGGTTTGTGTTCCGACTGCTTTTGGGTAAAGACCCAGATTTGCGTGGCCGTGCATGGCAGTTGTCACAAGATCTCTTCCTGAAAGCCGATTTCTGCGAATGTGGAAGCTAAGTGCTCAAATGCAGTTTCACCCGAACAGGCGAGGGTTGCCCAACCCAGAGGTAAGAACACGGCTGCGAGCTGAAGTCTTGCGCAAGAAGTGATGAACATGCCGCGGCAGCCCGGCTCGTTGTTTAGGTCCATGTTTGGAAGATTGTTGAGAGTCACAAATGACTGGGAATGTGGTTTGCTTGATACCTGGCATAAGTTAAGATCCGTTCTCAAGTCAGGCGCGTCAGCTGCGAGTATCTTTGCTAGTGACTGCTAGTGACAATCGCTAGCCAGAGACAGATACAATCTCTGTCAGGTGCTAAAGGGGGTGGAATGTCTCTTTGGGCCCAGGTCCGGGGAACTTGAAACTTGACATGGCTGCATCGGCAACAAGGAGCTCAGCCTCAAAGAAGTCTAAGTATGAAAGGCCCCGTTGTAAACCGTGGAAGCGATCCCAAACGGGCGAACCAGAACTGGCTGTCGTCCGGACTGTCCGGCAGGCTCACTGGCAGGCAGTACGCTACCCAGCAGAGCCTGAACAGGAGGCTGCTGTTTGGTTGTGCTGTCGGGCATAGGCTGTATCCGCAAGTGCGGCAAAGACTTCTGCAGCTACAGGCTTCTACTATTCCCGAACCTCCAACACCATTGATCCAGCATTTCCTTTCCTCCCATTGTAGAGGTTGTGTTCGGTTGCCGTTCGGGAAAGCGGGCAAATTATTGTCTGGCGCCTCAGTGCATTTGCGTACAAACAACACGCATCGTTGCCATCCGTTCTTCTTGCTTATAAACTTATACTTTTCTTTACTACACCACTACTACTACTACTACTACTACTACTACTACTACTACTATTACTACTACTACTACTACTACTACTACCACCACTACTTTTACTACTGATACTACTACTACTACTACTACTACTACTTCTTCTTCTACTTCTACTTCTACTGCTACTGCTACTGCTACTGCTACTGCTACTGCTACTGCTACTACTACTACTACTACTACTGCTACTGCTACTGCTACTACTATTACTTCTGGCATTACTACGGACTACTACTGTAGTGTTACTATTACGACCACTACATAAACTTGCACCATTTCTCATAAACGTCTTTCAACAAATCTCCGTGTACCCTTGTTAACATTGACTTGAAAGGCTACGGGAGGATGGCCCAAATCTTGCACCGCTCAAGTCGTCATAGCTGTGAGCTGAACAACGGTTGAATAACGGCTGCTTTCCCGGAAGGCTCACTTTGAATGGGACGATTTCGTCCGCTTTCGGGAGATGTGCAACATCAACATTACTGAGGCCTGAGGCGAAGGGGGTTCAGTTCGGGTGTGCAGCTGAGCATGCAGTCAACATGCGCAGTCAGCACTCACTATTCATCAGCTTGACCCATCTAGCGACAGAGCCACAGAGTCGAACACCTTGGTGTGATTGTGGGGGAAGCTTCAAGTATTTCAGGTCACGGCTTTCAGCATATTCCCAAAAGCTTCATGGGTCAAGCGGGTTTGAAGTTTAAGTTGAGGTGATCGTTGTGCTGATGTGAATTATTTTATGCAGAACTGTTAGCGTCATCCATCCACTGAATACGACGTTCACTTAGTTCATGCCACTTCCCAAAGGCTTGAACACAATCCAATCGGCACGCCAATGCATGCCAGGCGACCGTTGTAGTCACGCCTGCGTGGATCATCGAGCACACCGGCAAGTTGCTGGAGGCGACAGACTTCTTCGAGCCAGCAGCGTTAAACTTGTGATCATTGTGCAGGCCGTTTTGTTTGAAGCACTTGAGGGAATTGCAATGCGAACCACTAATCCTTTGTGCATCACTCGTGCAGACAGTCCTTCCTCACAGAATCAAGATCACATGCATACAGCGAGAGTGTGTCAGGGTCGTCGTAAGGGCCTCACGTGAAGTATCTTGTGCAACCTCAGTCACATTGTGATTTCCACAAACACTTCTTTTGCCTGCTGCCTGACAGCTCCCTGAATACTGGAGCCGGAAAAGCTCCATGAGCACTGGAGCCTCTTCAGCCTCTGCAGCCTGCACAGCCGGTCAGGAAATCTGCACAAGGAATCCGATACCGTGGCAGGAGCTGCAGGGTTCTCTCAAAACTTCATGGCAATAGTTACAAAGCGCAGCAGTGGACAAAGCGGAGCGGTGGAGGATTGTCTTCAAGGGCCAGCGATGCCCATTGAAGCCGATCGTGGAGCCCTGTGCCCATGCATGCGCTGAATGCCGAAACCGCAAGTAGTTAAGTAGTGGTTTACCGCCAAACATCGGTTTGTGGTAGCTGCAGCAGGGATCCTGAGACCTTGCACGATGTCAGCATACTACAAAGTGATGTGATCCCGTTTCTTTCCCACGACCACGGAGGAGTTTTGGAGCCATATAAAGCACAAGACGTGAGAAGCATGACCGTATGCGCAGGATATCGACGCATGTGTCTTCGCCGGGATCTGACACCACTGGTCAGCACATGATTTCAAACCAGCAGAGATCTTTCGACTTACTTCCCCCGAATTTGACTGGTCTGAGAAGTGCAACTGTATGTCAGCTTTAGTCTAGCTTATTTAATCCGTTGCTCATTTCACCTGACGAGGTCCTCACTGGTGTCGCGCCTCGTGCGGCGGCTGGGCAGGCCTGTCCAATCCCCGAAAGTCTTCTTCGTTTGGTAAACGCCCGCACATGTCTCCGTGGCATAGGTTCGACAGCAGCCCTGTCAAGCCAACGAGCAACTCTTCTTGGTCCCAGTCACACATGAGAGAACATCACAATGTGTTCTGTTGGTCTATCGCAATGAATCGGTGAGTATTGGCAGGGCTGGTCTTCCTGTTTCATGCACGGCGCTTCAGAGGTCAGCATTCTGAACTCAAGTTTAAGTTTACGAACCTAACCCTCGCTGCAACCCCAAGGTGACAAGGTCAAGGCCCCCAGACTTCCAGTCTTCATACAGATTCAACGCGTCAAGGGAGAATCAGGGTGCTAAGTCACGCATAAAACTCTATGCATACGCATTTCAACCGATCAAGGCAGCTGAGCATGCAACCCATCTTGTCATATACGCTTCAACACATCACAGTAAAATATCACAGCTGTCACAGCTGGGTGATGACTGCAACTCTGATACATGTCATGATGTCGGTACAGGTCGAAGTCAGCAAGGAAAACGCACCGTTGATGCATACAAGTCCAGCCCCAGATCAACGACACTAGCATGTAGCGGTGTTTTCAGTGTGTTGCTCACTGAGATCTAACGTGCTCTACTAATCAATCCTAACACTACCAGCTTAGTAGAGACCCGCCTAGCATGGAAATTAAGCAGAACACTAGTCTGAATTAATGCTTGCAGTCATAATTAGCGCTTACCAACCCCCCAAATCAAATACTAACCCCCGTACAAAGACATTATAGCAAACCCAATAGGGACATGCATGGCAACCCTGATATTGATCTCAATTATAAAGCTTTTTCAAGCCCAAAGTACTGCTAGCAAACCTAACATTTTGTCCAACGATGCCAACATGTACCGTCATGGCATTATCATTTCCCGAAGCTCAACATTGGCTTTAATTTGATTCCTAAGAACAAGTTACGGAAGTTTAACGCAAGCTCCTACTTCTGAGCAAAGTCAATCCTTATATTATCCTGGGCGGTAGTCCTGGTTGCAATTACGCTGACATTACCCTCAGCAATGACTCAAAACTATCGCTAATGTAAAACTCGCGATTCAACCGCAGTACTTGCATGAATGGGTTCACTAACTGGGTGATTCACTCCCACGTGGTTACTGGAATAGCGCTTCTAATGCGGGCCAGATGGTCTCGTTGACTATACTATACGGCTAGATGAAAAGAATCCTTACACGGGCATGTGCGTTTCAGTACAGTCTGTCAACCCAGGGTACAGCCTCTACGGAATAAGCAAACCGCATACATAGTACGAGGAGAATCAGTGCATACGGAGTGTACATCTTTCTTGTCGAGTCAATGACGGTAGGATAGGGTGCGCTGATGAGGGTGGCTGGTAAACACCAGACTATGCGCTGGTGGGCGAATGGCAAACTCCATGCTCCAAATCATGATGAGATTACATACCCGCAGACAACAAAGACAGTATACTTAGAAAAATCCCAATTTCAATGAGCCGAAGATTGCCATACTATGTGTATGATCTGTGCGACAGCGCTCAATCCACTTACTGCGTGAGCGTCACAGTCGTAGGGATGTGGAGAAAGGGTATATTAGTATGTGTATTGGACCTCTATGTATGATATGCGGGTCTTGCTTGTTTGGAAGAACACGAAGGGGATCAAATAATACGGGCTCAAGTTTCAGACTAAACACAAGATTTTTTCAAAAGCAGCTATATAAAAATGCAAATTTGTTGACATTTTTGACATTGTTGAAAGAATATCCCTGGCCGTGCGGCTTTGACCAGGCAATTTTTTTTTACTTTTTGAAGTTCCAGAAATAATTGCAATTTTTGGAAAATAAAGACTGTTTAAACATATTCCATTTGTTCAAAAGTTGTCCTAAGAATCGAAAGTTTGATGAACTTTTTGAAACAATAGAATAAATAAAACCTCTGGCCAGGCCCGGCCGTGCCCAGCCAGGATTCTTTAAAATTGTTGACTTTCTTGAAATACTTGAAAATTTCGAGAAAACACAGGACAAAATACAGAACACAGGCAGAAGTTCGGTTTCTCACCAAAAAACCGTGAAAAGCACAATGTAAAAACTGTTGAATTTTTTTCAAAAAAGATAAAGGCCCTGGCCAGGCCCGGCCGTGCCCGGCCTTCATGGAAATTATTGAAATTGTTGAAATTTCCTCATGGGAATCCCACAAACAGAAGCTACTTTTCAATTGGGGATTTTGCAGATCTTGGGCTCCGACTGGTTTTCCATATTCAACATCCCCATCTATAGGGTACTTTATATAGGGTATTTTGTAGGGGATTCTAAAGGATATCCTATAAGGTATTGTATAGGTGTGCTAAATGGCATACATAAGGTATTCAAAAAGTATCACATACAGGCGGTAAGGTATGCTACAGGGTATTCCAGATGGTATTCCAGAAGGCAAAGGTAGGGTAGAGCGGGGAAATTGTATGACGTACTCCATGAGGCAATCTAAAAGGTATTCTAAAGGTTATTCTACAAGGTCTTGTAGAAGGAATTCGGTCGGGTATGTATAGGGTGTATTTTATAAGGTATCTTGTTTTCTGGGTGTATCCCCCCTTACTAGATAAGCCTCGATTTGTTCAAGGAGTTCCTAGATCCTAGATTCCGCCATGAATCCGTTGCCCAGTAAGTGGTGAACTCTCAAATCTTGGCCTCCTCCCGATGTTTCCTATACATATGTTTATAAATATAAATATATATATATATGCTTCTTCTGTAAAGTATTCTATAGGGTATAATGAGTATTCTATAGGGTGTATGTATGTATATCTATATATATATATATAGCTGTCATTCAACAAGGTATATACAAGGCATGCTATAAGGTACTACCGTCTTTTAGAAAGGGTATTTTGAAAAAGTATTTAACAGGCTATTCTCCTTTATTCCTCATTTCTCTCATAGAAATCTATTGCTCAATAAACTACAAGATCTTTGGCTCCTCCTAATTTATTCTACAGAAATTCTTGTCTCTAGGGTCTCTTTCGGGTATTCCACAGCGGATTCCCAAGGGTATAAATATGGTATACGAGGGTATCAGGTAGAGGGTTTTTTTGCAAGGCATTCTATACTGTACAGTATTCCAGATGGTATTCTACAAGGCTCAAGGAGAAACGCAAGGTATTCTATGGGACATTCTATAGGATATCTATAGGGTATTCCATGAGGTATTGTGTAAAAGGTATTCTATACGGCGTATATACCGACAAGAACTCTATAAGGTATTCTACCGGCTAAGGGGTATTCGTAAGGTATATACAAGTATATAATCTAATATAATGTAATATAAAACAATACAATATAATACAACATAATACAATATAGTACAATATAATACAATATACTACAATATATCACAATATAAATATAAATATGAACATAAATATAAATATAAATATAAATATAAATATAAATAAATAAATAAATAAATAAATATATATATATATATGAATATAGATATATAAGTATAATACATAATTATAAATATAAGTATATATATATATATACATACACACATTCTATGTGGTATTAACCAGGATATTCCATATGAGATTTTGCAAGGTATATAGCAGGGGTATTCTAAAGCTAATTAAACGGCTATTCTTCTACGTGTATTGTATATGAAATTTTGCAAGGTTTATAGCAGGGATATTCTGCAATCTAATTTAACCGCTATACTTCTACCGGTAGTTTCCTGTTTCCTTCATGAGAATCCTCTACTCAATAAGCTACAACTCAGCTCGAAATTGTCCATGGCTTCGTGTGCTGCAACAGATCAATAGGCTCATTGGCGCAAAACTTCGGCTGGAGGGGAACTGAACGGACCAGGCGGTTTTGCTTTAGGCACCAGCCCCAAAACCGATTGAAGTCCATAATGCTCGCTCTGGCTGCGGCTGATGGTCATGTTTTTACACGCCCCAGGCAACGGACCAAGCGGTTTTGCTTTAGGCACCAGCCCCGAAACCGATTGATATTCATGATGCTCGCTCCGGCTGTGGCTGATGCTCATGCTTTTGCACGCCTCAGGCTTCCAGATGCCAGATTTTCAGATTGACAGGCCTCATGATTCAAGATTCCAGATTTCCAGATTAACAAGCCGCAAGAGTCCAGATTCCAGATTTGCACGCCCTCAGGTTTCCAGATTCCAGATTTCCTGATTTGCACGCTCTAAAGTTCAAGAGATTCCAGACTTCCAGATTTGCACACCATCAGGTTTCCAGATTCCAGATTTGCACGCCCCAAGTGTCTACTTTAAGTTTCCAGATTCCAGATTTTTGGAAATGTTGGAATCTGGAAACCTGAGGGCGCGCAAATCTAGAAACCTGGAAGCTGGAATCTCTAGACACTTGGGGCGTGGAAATCTGGAATCTGGAAACCTACATCCTGCAGAGAGCCGGAAATCAAGAAATCCAGAATCTGGAAACCTGCAGACGTGGATCTTGGGGGGTGGGGGGGAGCACATGTATGTATGTATGTATGTATGTATGTATGTATGTATGTATGTATGTACGTACTTTTGTTTGTTTGGTTGTATGCATGTATGTATGAACATATGTGCGTATGTACCTATGTATGTTTATGGACATGTATATGGAAATTTATATATGTGTAAATGTACATTATGTGCTCACATAAGAAGGTATGCATGTGTTTGTGCAGTGGACGCAGTTTCTCTCTCTTCCGAGGACACCTTCTCGCTCTTTCTCCCTATATTTTTGTATATACATACTGTGTGTATACCGTTGTATAGATATATACATGTACAGATATACTATGTTTCAATATTTCAACAGTCTAACGACGATGTACCTGCCCGTAGGATATGGAACTGATATGGACGACTTCATGCACAGGACAAAGTCATCCCCAGACTGATCGAATTGCTGCCGGGACCTTAAGATAGTGTGATTCTCTTGAGGCAGGGAAATGCACAAGACTGCTGATGAAATTCGTGAAGTATGTACCGACGTCCTAGACTCAAAACCTGTTTTTGGGTGCGTGTGTTCTGCGGCTTCAAGGCAGTACCTGCTGCACCATGTCGACCCAAGCATGCTCAGGGATTTCCAAATTGTGGTTTTCTGACACTTCAGAAGCTAGACCCATGATGTCTTAATCTAAGTTTGATGAGAAGCCGAACAGCAGGCAGACTGCGGAAGCGGCAAGCCCACCAAAGCGCCATATGCCGGACCGCACTAGTTTTGAGCGCCGTGTTCGTACATCCTGCAAGCTCGCTCCAAGTATTTTGCATCTCCATCCTTTGATCGTGCGCCTCGGGGATCCGAAAGTCCCACATCCTCGAGGATGTTTGCTCTACGGCCGTCGAATCCAAAGAGTCCAAACCGCCTCTTAGTTCATGCAGAAGCACCGAGATCGTGCCCAGATTACACAGTATACGTCAAACCATCGCAAACCGGGCGCTCAAGCCGCAAATTCCTAGAAAGGGGCTGCCAAAAGCCCAACTGCCAAAACCAAGGAAAGCTCAGAGATTTGATTCCAAACCACAAGGCCCTATGTCCTGAGACTGAGAGCTTTCACACGGCTGTTCGTACCACCCGCAGCCAACAACCTTCGATAGCACCATACTTGTAGCGGATTGAGCTCCCAGGCTGGCCGACAATCAGCAGCAATCAACGTGAAAATGAGACCCTTTCAGGACATATTTCTGTTCAAACATCCCTGAACACTGCAGTAAAACTCGCCAGTCGCTCCCTATAGCTCTCACATCATCTTGGACCCTTAAAGCCACGGAGCGGAGGCCCCAGCTGCCCTACCCCGATGCCGGCAACAAGGCCTTGCTGCTGCCAGTTCCAGAACTGTAGGTATGCGCAGGCTAGAAGCCTTCAGCATGAAGATCCAGATCAGAGGGATGGAAGGTTGGTTCCGACTGGGCTTTGCTGGCAAGGTCGAACTCAACCTTCCCCTCTTCGATCCTGTAGACCTCATTATGTCAAACTGTGCTTGGGAATTCGGATCGGGGACACTCTTAAACTTGAGTCTTGGCTCAGATGCCTTCGTGCAGTCAGAAGATTTTCACATCGAAGGCTCAGGTCGATCGCGGTAGCGAGCTCATGCCAATGACAGGTTCCCTTGCGTCAGGCTCAGCACTTCCACATTTCGCCGTCTTGCTATCACGGAAAGGGCTGTAATTAATTCCCACCCATGCTAGGCACGAAGTTCTGGAGTTCTTTAGTTTGTGTCCTTGCCGAAGTTGGCATGATTTAGCTGAATTTAGCTGGTTGCACAGAGACCGCTAGCCAGGCCTGCACTGTGCCAGCCAACGGCATTTACACAAAACTACCGCCATCTGGCTGCTCTCAATACTTGCATTAGGGGGTTTGGGTTAGAGTCTGGGTATTGTGTTTGGTGCGAATGAGGGTTCCACGTTTCTGGTTCAGGGAAATGCGAACTGAAGCAGAGGAGCCGCCCTGCTTTTGGGTGTCATTGGTTATGTGATGTAGCAGTTTTGATTACATAAGGATAAGTCGGTTCAAGGCAATCTTCAGCCCGGGCTTCGATCTTTCTGCATGGCTCAATTAGGCTCTCGCGTAATTTCAGGGCCTGCTGATGAATCGCTTTCACACGGACATGCCATGCAGAAAATCATGAAAGACTTGCCGTGTCGCCGAGTGTTGCATTTGGGGACAGCTTTGCTCTTTCCAGGCGCTGCTAATGCGCTCGGCTGCCAGCCGCTTGGTGCTTTTCACCTCAGGCCATGGGAACCCCAAGCAATGCAGGAGTATATACGTTCAACATGCCCTCTGGGCAGCCAGGGTTGTTCAGTTGTTCTAGTCCTTGATGTTCGTACGGTTTCATTTAGGGTTCACATTTTCGAGAAGTTATGTTTGCGCAGCACAGGTGTGCAGAATGCGGAAAGGTTGGAGCAGTTTGGCGCATGTAAGCTTAAACCTACAATGCCGTTGCGATGCTTGACGCTTCGCTCCGAGGGTTCGTCATGAAAGCACCGTGAGTAAAGCCAAAACAGGCATTGGCGGTTTCCGGGAGTTTGGTGTGAATTTCAGCATTCCAGTGACGTAGGCCTGAATTCCAGCCGGGACCATCGCCGTGACAGCGAGCTCTCAGCCCTGAGCTTCTGATCATCGAAACTGCACTACATGTGCTGGCCGAGTAGCAGGAAGCTACATAGATCCACCAACTACTGAGAATATCCCATCGAGTCATTGCGGCGACGAAAACGATGCCGACAACGGAGCAACTACTACAGTACTATATATAGTACCGATGCTTTGACTATAGTAACAGTATAATAGTAGTAGTAGTAGTAGTAGTAGCAGGAGTAGTAGTAGTAGTAGTACTAGTAGCAGCAGGAGGAGTAGTAGTAGTAGTAGTAGCAGTTGTCGTAATAATCATAGTAGTAGTAGCATTCGTCGTAGTAGCAACAGTCGTCGTCGTCGTCGCTGGGGTAGTATACAGCACAACTGCTACCACTGCTACTACTACTACTACTACTACTACTACTACTCCTACTACTACAACTACAACTACAACTACAACTACTACTACTACTACTACTACTACTACTACTACTACTACTACCTACTACTACCTACTACTACCGACTACTACCGACTACTAC